CATGGTATTTCTCCAGGGATGGCAGGATTGCTTTAAAGAAATGCACTTCTAGAGTGAAGAAAGATGAGTCCCATTTACAGCCATTTTCTAAAATAAAATGCACAAAGCACCACACTGATTAGGATGCCAAAACCAAAGCTGGAGTGAGCGACTTGGATTATTTTCTGCCACCAAAGGAGGTCGCTGCTGTTTTACTCTGCTCCAGATGCTCTTTGTTGCTCTCAGCTGTTTCTCAGCCTCTTCATCCTTTAGGGCTACACCAGTAAGATGAAGTAATGAAAAACTTTCAGATCCACCTGAAACTATGTTGTTGTTGTTGTTGTTGTTTTTTAAAAAAACCCTTTATTTCCCTTCCCACATTCCAAAAAGATAGCACTGAAATGTTATTAAAATAGATTGCATTGTCCTCTCTCCCAAAGCCCCAGACTGTATTTGCTCAGTGATGCTCACACCCAGATATAATCAGGTGAGCATTTCAGAGGACAGTGGGACACCTCTTAGGGCTCAAAGAATTTGGGGGATTTTTCAAGGTCAAGGTATTTCCCAAGGGAAAAATATTTAACATTTGAAGCCACTTGGTCTTTCAGACTGGAAAAATTGTCACGAGAAATCTTGGAGACAGATTTCAAGTTTCTCTTGACACGGGGTTTGCCCTGCCAGAGCTCCCCAACCTGAGCAGGGATTTCCCTTCCTCAGGTGGGGTCTGGGTCAGGCCCAGCAACTTCACCAAGGCTTAGGTACCAGAGCAGCTCAGGAAAAAAAAACAACCCAACAAACAAAACTCCCATAAAAATAATTAACACTGCTCCAGGGAAACTCCTGCACCTCACAAAAAAACAAAAGCTGGAGAAGATCTCTCTGTAAAAATACTCCATGGCTTGAGTCCTGCCACTGAGCCTGAGTGAGCAGCTATTGCAAAATTCACCATATTTTGCCCATATTCACGTCCCCTTCTTTGCAGAGCAAGTGATTAAACATGGATGAGCCGAGTCTGAATAGCACCGTTCAGTCCTTGTCTCCCACCTCCTCTTGAGACGCTGGTGTGTATTTTAGAGTTCATGCAAGTGTCTAGAAAGGAAACAAAAAAAGACAAAAACCACTGATCAATGATCCATCCAGGCCTGGAAACAGAGACATCAGTGGCCACCCAGGGGAAGGAGTGAAGGGTAAACATCAGCCCTGCCAAGAATAAGAGATGGGAAGGGGCCTCAGAGAGGAGCTTTGTTCCAGCACTATCATATTTCTAGAGGATTTTTGTTTCCAGTGGCTGCATGTATTAGGGTGCAGAGAGGATTAAGCACACCCTTTGCTGCCACACCAAGACAGAGATCCCATCCAAAAGCCTGGAGAAAGATTTGACTTTGGAAAAGACACAGTTAATTTTATCTTCTGCTTTTCCTTTTTAAAATTTTCCCCTGGCACCTGGAATACTGACATCACCCACCCAACCTCCAGTCCCCTGAGTGTAAATCCCTAATGTAGAGCATGAATACTTTGGGTTTATCCTCTGGGGCAATGCTGGAGTTGTCCACCTCTATCAGGATGTTCTTGTCATCTCTGGTGACCGGCGCTGGCTGCTCATTCTGCAGGACTTGGGGTAAATTCCCTAAACTGACATCCATGTCTTTGAAAGCATGGAGTAAAAACACCCCCAAAATGATGGTGAGGAAGCCACAGACTGTGCCAATGATGTCAACCACGGTCATGGTGACCCACTCCTTAAAGAGGATGATGGAAGTGGCGATGACGATGGTGGTGAACAGCACGTAGTAGATGGGGAACACCAAAGAGGTGTTGAAAATGTCTAGAGACTTGTTGAGGTAGTTGATCTGTGTGGTGATGGATGCCACCAGCGTGATGACCAGGATCCAGGTCAGTGGGTGCTGCAGCACAGGCTGGCCAGCAAAGAAGCCCTTGATGGCAATTCCCAAGCCCTTGACTGAGGACACGGAGAAGGCGCCGATAACGGAGCAGATGGTGAGGTAGACGAGGATGTTGCTCTGGCCATAACGGGGGGCGAGGAAGAAGATCAGGAGGAAGCAGAGAGCCAGGAGGATCGAAGCATATGCCAGGAAACCTGCAGGAGGGAGAG